CACACACACACGTATGTATGTATATGTGTATATGTGTATAATGCATATATATGTAACTGAAAATCAAAATTACTAAGCAATAATTATAGTCTGCTAATTTTAAAGGAAGGATTTAATATATATAGCAACACTATTATGAAGAAGGTGATTATATACATTAAACTGTTCTTTTGGGAGAATAATAACTTGTATTGATTAAATTTACAATTTGATAAGCTTAGTATGCATATTGTAATTTCTAATTATAAAAATAAATTAAATACCTTTTATCCTATGGTAGAATATAATAAATGAATTTCTTTAAAAATCTCAAAATAACCGTGAAAAAAATATTACCAAATAAAGCCAAATTTCAAAAAGATAATAGAGTCTAACTCCTTAAAAAACACTCAAAATATGAACTCGAGTGAATAACAAATACATCTAATCATATAATATCTTTCTTATATGACATGAATTTAAGGCCATAGAAGTTTGGAAAAATAAAATTATGTCATGAAATAGCAGTGAAATTAATCAACAAAAACAATGAACTCTTTTCATGTCTGTTACATGTTATTAGGTGTCATCCAATCACAGCTGGCTCATAGTGAATGTACAAAAGAACAAAACAATACTCGATTTTTTGTCATCCTCATAATTGTAGTTATTTTTCAGCACATTGTTTCAGTTATAGAACCAATCCACATTATTAAGGGATTTATTCTTTTTCATCTACTTTACCAAATATCATGTATTTTCCAGAGAATGATCTCTCATGAAAACATGTCCCAAATATATGAGATGGAGTTTTGCCAATCTCAGTTCTAAGGAACAAATTTGACTGTACTTCTTCAAAGAAAGATTTGTTAATTCTTATAGCAGTCATCATATTTTTACATATTTCACAATACCATAATTCAAATATATGAATTCTTCTGTAGTCTTCCTTAATAAGGCAATTGAAAATACTATGCTTTTGGTCAGATATGCCTTAATACTCACAGAAATATCTTTGCTCTTTAAAACTTTGAAAGAATTTCTGTGCTGCATTTTTCCAATACAAAACATAGTTTCATTTACTGACTACTGTTTCCATGAGCTTATTCCACATTGATTGTGAAACTAATTGAAATTGAATCCTTGAAAAGTTCACTCATTCCTCTGTTTATAATGATGCTCTCTATTGTTAAAGTTATATGGTTTTAATTTTCTATATATTGAGTTGTAATCTATAATGATGACTGTATTATTTTTATTCAACAATAAGTGCTTCAAGTACTCTTTGCACTTATTGCACAAGTACTCTTACAACCAGTAAGGTTGTTTGGATCCCACCAGACTCTAACAGACCAGAATGTGTGTTGTTATATAGAGATAGGAGATGGAAAATAAGATGTTTTTATTAACCATACTATTTGAGAAGAGTTCACAAAGGAGTTGCTGTTAAGGGCCATTGAGTTGGTTCTGATCCATAACGACCCAATGTACAACAGAAAGCAACACCACTTGTGCCTGGGCCATCCTCACAATTATTGTAGTGTTTGAGACCATTATTGCAGCTACTACATCAATCCATCTTGCTGGGGGTCTTTGTCTTCTTCACTGCCCCTCCATTTTACCTACATGACTTGACACCTTTTTTCAGTGACTGGTCTCTTCTGATACCATGTGTAAATTAGGTGAGATCAAGTCTCATCAACCTTGCCTCTAAAGGAATATTCTGGCTGTAGTTCTTCCAGGATGTATTTGTTTCTTCTTTTGACAGTCCATTTCATTATTCTTCACCAGGCCATAATTTAAATGCATGAATTCAGAAGAGGAAAAAGAGGAAAATTCACAACCATGAATCATCACTCTGGCTTTCAAGATAAGATAGCAATAATTATTTAGATTATAAAAGAATTTTGCAACAAAAATTATAAACAACCTATAACCTATGAAAATTAACCCAGAAATTCTAGAATAGACATTTTTTCCCATTAATGTAGAATAAAAGAATATATTTTATTATCAGCAATATATTAGCCAATATAAAATGACCAAAGCTTAGTTAACTGAGAATGCCTCTCACAGTCTTTGAAAACACTAAAAGAGTTCATTTTTTGTGACTATGAAGAATGAAAATAAATGTATAAGATCACAATGTAATCAATGAAAAATAAACATCACAACACATGGTGATGACACTAAAAATCAATTATGAAATATTGGAGTGTGATCCCAGCGGCCGGCGCTGGGACGCCCGGCAGGATCGCTGTCCAGACGCTGCGGGCACTTTGGTCTGGCCCGAGTTGGGGTCGCGGCGGCGGCCACAGAGCTGACGGGCTCTTCATGATGAGAGGTTTTGAGACGCTTCCCTGTCCTCTGTGTAGTTGATAGATTGTATGTTGAAGAGATGGCTGACAGTGTCAAAACCTTTCTTCAGGACCTTGTCAGGGGAATCAAGGACTCCATCTGGGGTATTTGTACCATCTCGAAGTTGGATGCGCGAATTCAACAAAAGAGAGAGGAAGTCCATCGAAGGACAAGTGTCCTCGCCCAGAGGAGAGCCCAGAGCCCAGAGCGGAAGCCAGAGGCTGAGCCGTATATTGTTAATAGAATTTTCCTGTGCTGTGCTTGGAATGGAGGAATATTCTGGTTTAGCCTCTTCTTCTTTTACCGAGGGTTTATTCCTGCGCTTCAATATGTAACAGCAAAGATTACTGGTGATCCATCACTGCATGGAGATGTTTGGTCGTGGCTGGAATTCTTCCTCACATCAATTTTCAGTGCTCTTTGGGTACTCACACTGTTTGTGCTTAGCAAAGTTGTCAATGCCATTTGGTTTCAGGATATAGCCGATTTGGCATTTCAGTTGTCAGGAAAGAAGATGCAACCGTTCCCTAGTTCCAGCAAAATAATTGCTGACATGCTCTTCAACCTTTTGCTGCAAGCTCTCTTTCTTCTTCAGGGTTTGTTTGTGAGTCTCTTCCCCATCTATCTTTTTGGTCAGCTGGTTAGTCTCCTGCATATGTCCCTTCTGTATTCATTATACTGCTTTGAATACCGCTGGTTCAATAAAGG